CCCAGGCTCAGTACCCTCAGTCCCAGCACCCCCAGGCTCAGTACCCTCAGTCCCAGCACCCCCAGGCTCAGTACCCTCAGTCTCTGCTCCAGTGTCCACAGCAGCAGGCTGCAGAGGCGGCGAAGACGGCAGAGGTGGGAACCCGGGGGGTGTAGCCAGACGAGGAGAGCGGGCACCCCCGGACTCACCACCCCCAGCCCCAGCTCTTGTAGTCTCAGCTCCAGAGTCCACAGCAGCAGGCTGCGGAGGCGGCGAAGACGGCCGTGGCGGGAAACCCGAGGGGGTCTCCAAGCGAGGAGTGCGGCGAGTGGTCGCCGTGTCGTCGGCGACGGCGTCACCCCCCTCACGTGAGTCAGAGGAGTCAGAAGAGATCTCAACTGGCTCATCCAAGGGGGGTGGGTCTACCTGGGACACACCTGAGGGAGCAGGACCCTGTGGGGGAAGGGGGTCTACCGGGGGGGGGACTGGTACCAGGAAGAGAGGTGCGAGAGGGACCGGGTGGGACGCGTGCGGGTGAAGTCGGTAGTAACAGACCGACTCGTCAAATGTGACATCCTGAGAAGACAGAACACGACGCGAGGCAGGGTGGTAGAACTCCCAGGGTGGAGCGTCGGTGGGGAAGCCCAGGAAGACACAGCGGAGAGTGCGAGGGGAGAGCTTGCTCGCTTTGGTATCGCGAACAAGGGAGAGCGCGCCCCAGACCCGAAACGACGACGCATCACCAGGCTGTCCCGTCCAACGGAGTGTGGGCGAGGTCTCTGGAGCAGAGACACGGGGCCAGAGGTTGAGCTGATGCGCGGCGTATCGGACCGCAAACGGCCACAGGAAATGGGGAGCAGCCGCATGGATCATGGAGGTACGAGCAACCTCCATGATCAGGCCAATGCGACGCTCAGCGATCCCATTTTGCTGCGGAGAGGCCGGAAGCGTGAACGACTGGGCGATGCCCTCATCCTGGCAGAACGTCTCAAGGACGCCAGAGGAGAACTCACCACCCCTGTCAGAGTGCAGACGCAGGACTGGAAAGTCCCGCCGAAACCGCTCGCGCAGCTGGTGACGAGTAGCACGGATCCAGGGGATCAATACACCACTGGCATCCGCCTTGCGCCGCAAGGGGAAGACTGTGGTGTAGCGTGTGTAGTCGTCAACCACCAGCAGGAAGTAGCGCTCCTGGTCCGTTCCACCGACGGGGGCCGGGCCCCACACGTCCATGTGGAGAGTCTGCAGAGGAGCAGTGGTCGGAGGAAACTCGGAGGAGTGAGGAGCGGCGCGCTGCCGCCCCTCGACGCAAGGAAGGCACGGCGGCGCAAGTGAGCGCGGGAGGGGGGGCAGGGTCTCAGGGAGGCCAGTGACCAGGAGCCGGGAGTGCATGCGGCGCAGACGCTACAGGGAGGGGTGACCAAGACGGTGGTGCCAGCGCTGAGTCTCGTGCGTGAGTACTCGGCACGAGCAAGACGCAGCTAACTGCCCTGACGCAGACGCTCGACTCGACGTAGCTACCTGACCTGACTCAGCCACCTGTGCAGACGCAGTGGTCAGTGTGTACAGACTAGACCCAGGCTGTCGAGTGAACGTAGCCAGGTGACGGCCAGTCCGGGAGCACGTACAGATCGCCACACGCTGCCCTCCAGGAATAAAGGTATCAACCCCGATATCCTGAATGGCAGCGTTGCTCACCAAGTTCGTCGAGAACGTGGGGAGGTGGAGACCTGACAAAGAGCCGGAGGGGACTGCTGGACAAGGGAGGACCGTGGAGGCTCTCGCAACCACTGGGCCCCCAGAGGGGTCAGCCAGTGAGACTGGGACAGGTGCTGTGAGTGGTGTGACTGTGGTGCAATCACGGAAGAAGCAACGTGACGCGCCGGAGTCAAGCGTGAAAGTGTGCAAGACCTCAGCTGAGGCAGGACCTGTGGTAGTAGACGCACTAGCAACTAGAGCGTCGGTAGACTCACGGGCACCTAGAGCTGCAGCAGACTCACTAGCACCTGGAGTGGCAGCAGACTCACTAACACCTGGAGTGGCAGCAGACTGACTAACACCTGGAGTGGCAGCAGACTCACTAACACCAAGAGCAGCGGTCTTAACAGAACGATAACCTCCACCACCAGGACGACCTCGCTGAATAACCCACTCACGAAGCTGCCGAGGGGTGGGGTCGTCCGGGAGAAGCAGTGCCCGCTGCTGTCCACCCCTGGCCGCAGCGACTGCCGCGGAAGTGGCCATGACAGACAGTGACTGTCAGGAGTAGGTCCAGCACCTCCAGCTCCTACAGCGCCAGCAGCACCTCCTACACTCCCAGCAGCACCTCCTCCACTCCCAGTAGAACAAGTAGCAGCAGCAGCAGTAGTAACAGCAGCAGGGCGGTTCGGTGGGGGTGGGAGGCCGCACCTCCACCACTCCCAGCAGTACTCCCTCCAGTAGCAGCAGTAGCAGGGCGGCTCGGGCAGCAGCAGCAGACCGAGCAGCAGCAGCAGCAGCAGTAGACCGAGTAGCACTAGCTGTAGCAGTAGTAGTTGCAGTAGCAGCAGCAGTGACAGCTCGGGCTGGGCGGCGCGGCTTGGACACAGTGGCAGAGCAGCAGTAGCACTAGCTGTAGCAAGTGCAGTAGTAGGAGCTGCAGCAGTAGCACTAGCTGTAGCAAGTGAAGTAGTAGGAGCTGCAGCAGTAGTACTAGCTGTAGCAGCAGTAGCTTCAGTCAAGCAGCAGTAGCTTCAGTCAGGAGCAGCTGTAGCAAGTGCTGGAGTAGGAGCTGCAGCAGTAGCACTAGCTGTAGCAAGTGAAGTAGTAGGAGCTGCAGCAGTAGTACTAGCTGTAGCAGCAGTAGCTTCAGTCAGGAGCAGCTGCAGTAAGTGCTGGAGTAGGAGCTGCAGCAGTAGCACTAGCTGTAGCAGAAGTAGCTTCAGTCAGTAGCAGCTGTAGCAAGTGCAGTAGTAGGAGCTGCAGCAGTAGCACTAGCTGTAGCTGGAGTAGCTTCAGTCAATAGTAGCTGTAGCAAGTGCTGGAGTAGGAGCTGCAGCAGTAGCACTAGCTGTAGCAGCCGTAGCTTCAGTCAGTAGCAGCTGTAGCAAGTGCCATAGTAGCAGCAGCAGCAGTAGCACTAGCTGTAGCAGCACTAGCTTCAGTAGCAGCAGCAGTGAGTAGCGCTAGCTGTAACAGGAGTAGCGTCAGTAGCAGCAGCAGTGAGTAGCGCTAGCTGTAGCAGCAGTAGCAAGGAGGAGCAGCTGCAGCAAGTAGCAGCAGCAGCAGCAAGGAGGAGCAGCTGCAGCAAGTAGCAGCAGCAGTTGCAGGGCAGTACAGGCGGCAGCAGCACTGCAGCAGCAGTTCAGGCGCAGCAGTGTAGCAGCAGCAGTGAGTGCAGCAGTAACACGGGCCGCGTGCGGGCCAGGCGCGCTGTAAGGGCTGCGGAATGTTAGAATCATGTTAGAATCACTAGCTAGGTGAGGAATGATGACTAGGTAAGGGAGAGGGAGTACAAGAGTGTCGAGAGAATTGGGTTGTACCCTCTAAGGGATGACCCCTACACAACCTAGAGTGAAATAGACATAACTCTATGTTTTGACAAATAGTGGGTTAGCCTACAAGGGGTACAACACATTAGGGTTAGGTACATGTACTCATGCATGCTACCTAGTCCATCATTCATTCCTGCTTATTCTAACAGCGGTGTCACCCGCATTGATGCTGTCTGGTTGCCTGAGCTCGCACCACAGTTCTGTAAAACGGATGTGTCAGGAGATGTGTGGTGACCGTAATGCAATTGCATCAATGAACCTTTGAAGAGATGTGTCCCGGGGTTATTTGCCAGGTACAAATTTCGTGGCCAGGCGTCTCGCAAGTCCTTTTTTCGCGCAGCAATTATGGGTATTTTAGGTTCCTGGTGCGCTAAGCAGTTGTGTAACAAGTATGCAGAGGGATTAACACCTTCAGGTCTATCATACAGTATTAGCCAGGACAACACAGGTCTTTTCATATTCCCAGTGAAGTAATCTACCATCTTAAAATTATTATCTGTTCCATTCAACATTTCCTCCACTGACACTACAGGTGCAATCAACACTGAGATATCCTCATTGTATCTTGATTGTTTGTCTAAAACATACGTCAAAGTTCACATCCATAGTACCAGGTCCAGAGTTACACAGGAACAAAATACCGTACAAGGAAAATACAAATTTACAGTAGAACAAAACTGCGATGCAGCGAGAGCTACGCTCGTTAGTCTCAAAACTGTGGAGTAATGCCTTGCTTGCAGTGTGCACCATCCTGAATTGCAAAACAGCAGAAACATAAAACTTAATTAGAGACATTACAGGAAATTGGCGAAGTGTATCAGTAGGGACATCCACCATGGCAACAGCACGAGAGCCACAAGGCCCTCGCACCACCAGCCAGAAAACGCCCAACAGCGATAAACCCCGGCGCCCAGCCGTGAGGCGGACGGTTGGTGTGCGCCCTGCATGAAACGACCATGCCACCGCCGCTGGGACAGCGCCGGGCATAGCCGGGATTATCAGGGCAGCCTGGGAAACGCGTTTAAAGCAACTAGAGAGGGAAAAACGGGGTGCAAAGGGAAGGCACGAGGTGACAGCAGCAGGCAAGCGTGGTTGCTCAGACAGCCAAAGGAGTCCTCGTCAACGCCAGAGGCTCGGAAACTCTAGTCTGAAACCGTTGAGCTTCATCACTGCAACCACCTGCGCCTTGCATGCCACCCAGATAAGGGATTTGAAAAGCGCCAACAAGGCAGAAGGTTACAGCAAAGACGGATCTTTGCAGGGGTGTATGTGCCATGGCTTTCCCAGCTCAGAGGAACAGCGTTCTCCCCAAAGCAAGAATGTCCATCGCGGGCCGGCGGCCCATCATGTGGCGCTTAAGCCATTGTGACCGCTGGGAACAGGGAGTCCCAGGGCATTGGTAACAAGCGCGCTCGCTCACCACCCCACCCACCCACCCCATCGCCCTGCTCGTTCGCGGAATCCGACGGCACTGAGTAGCGCACTCACCACACGCGCTTGCAGTGAAGCTCGAGGGAAATCGAGCGCAACCAACACTACAAACGACCCCGCGGAGAGTGGCGTCAGAAACAGCCTCAGGTTGTACGGTAGTTGAGAGCCTGTTAATTCAGCGGGGGGAAACGCGGCGGAAAAGAGCACAAGACAGCAAATATATTTTTCTTTGCAAAGCCGTGGGCTAGGCCGTTACGAAGAGGGGGAGAGGGAGGGATGAAGACGAGGGGTGTGAGCGGCCTCCGACGCGACGGCGCCACAGAGGGTGCAGCCGCGCCAGGCGCCCACAAGCGCCGCGCGGAGAGCCGCGTCTCGCCAACAGCGACGGCGGGCGACAACCACCAGTGGGTCGCACTGGCAGAGGCCGACCACCGCCGGCATCCGCGAGATCAGCAAACCGCGCGAGCGGCAGGTGAACATGCTGACGCGACGTGCGGGGCCCGGCCCCGCCGCTATAATGGCCGCACGCCTTGGCTGTGCGAAGGGCAACTAAGGAGCGCGCGATGCCGCAAGGCCGACGCGCTCCAACTCAGTCCTTCGACGCACGTGAGCGAGCTAGACGAGACAAGACAACAACGCGGACTCATGCTGATAAAAAGCAAATGCAAAAGGGATAGGTACGCCAACGAGCGTGCAGTGCCTCTCAGATCAGCGGAGTAACCGTCACCGGCCGTGATTGCCCTCGCCCCGTAAGGGGGAGGGCGGGCCTCGGGCCTGTTGAGCTTGAATGTTTGGGTCATCCCTGAGGCAAACCTCCCGAAAACCTTGGGGGGCGGCTTAACCGCATGCGAGCAGCAGAGCAGAGACAAGCGGGGCTGCGGCGTTGTGGCGTGGCGAGCCATCAGGAAAAAATTAGAGTTAACTTGGCATTCACTGATGCACGCATCTCATCATGCACCGGTTATGGTTCTCATCAGCTGGCCGCCCTCGCAATGCACGCAGAGGCAGCAGGCAACAACGGAACGGAGAATAGCTTCACACACACAGTAACACATGAGGGTTTCGGGTACGGCAGAGGCAATGCGAGCATCTACGGTGATGGAAGGGGTCCTCAGAAGAAGGAGAAGTCGTTTTATATTTGCTTCGTTCACGGTGAATCACATGGGCGCCCCGAAAGGCATCATCGTCACTGGACCCGCGGTGAGAGAGAGAGAGAGAGTGACGGGGAAAGAAGGGCAGGAAGCGAGGAACGCAGAGAGCAGACGCAAGGAGGAAAAGCAGAGTTGAGGCCAAGGGAGGGAAAGGAAGGTGAAGCAGCAGGCGTACCACTGAGGAACGTCGCGGACCACGGTGCCTCAACTCGCGACCAACACGCCGCCACGTAACTCTCGCCCGAGCTCTTGCATTGTGGAGGGAGCGGCACGGCAGAGCTTGCCCGCCATCCTGCAGGCACACGCGAGATGGGAAAACACTTTAGACGAGACAGGGGCGAAAGGCACGAGGCAAAGGCGGCGTATGGGTGCGGCAATGTAGAACAGCAGCCCGCGCGGCCTCATGGGCACGAGGCGACAGCGAGCGTTGCGTTCAAGGAGCGAAGGCACTGTGCCCCAGATGATAGTTGCGGTGGCAGCCATGAGAAGAACACTGCCCCGCGCTGGACTGGGGACACCCTGCTGCCGCCCTCCCATCCCCCACCTCATCCACCCAGTCAAGAGTTAATAATAATAGTAGTAATAACATGCAGCTCAACGGGTAATCACCTAGTACTCACTGAAGTTGCGGACGCGTGCCAGCAGGATGAAGTCACAGGCGGGCCAGTGGGAAGGTCAGCACACAACCGCGGCTGACGATGATCCTACGCCTCAGGAGGATCCGCAGCTGCGGTTGCTCCTTGGCGATGGCGTTCCTCGGTCGAAGCCGGGAGCCATCAACGGCTTGTTCTCCTCCTCGCCTGGTTCCATCCGTTATGAGTTGCAAATAAAATTACAAGACGAGTAGTGATGGTGAGAAATAACGGATAAATTACAAGCCGTCTTCTACAAGCCGTGAGAAATTACAAGATGGTGCAAATAAAATACGCCAGAAGATAAATAATAAGCCAAGGGCGGGATGGTGAGAAAAGAGAAGAGAGGGCAGCGAGGGCAGCGAGAGCAGCGAGGGCAGCGAGAGCAGCGAGGGCAGCGCGAGAGGATGGAGGGAGAGCTCGAGAGAAGTGGGTAGGGGAGCTCCGGAAATGAAATAAGTAGGCGGTGGTTTCCACCCTGCAGCCTGCAGAGAAGGAAGTATTCGCTATTCTCAAAACAAACACAACTGTCAACCAATGCAACTATATGGTTCATTTAATCTCGTAATTATAATGCGAATAGAGCTTGTTGATGATGAAATTAAGATAGTAGTTGTTTTGCCAAATCAATAGTGATTGTTGGAATCACCGAAAGGTTATTATAACATTCCCGAAGGTTCTCTTCTAGCGCACCACTTCATAACGAAGCAGCGATACTGTACCAGTACCGCAATAGCTCACATAGAACTGTCAAAACATATTTATATGTTGTTAGTTCTGCTAGGCTACAGTGAGCTGCTCAGTATAGAGTACAACCTCAGTTAAGGTTTACAACTTGTATCTCACTCTTGCGTAGTTCATTCATTCCTGCACAGTTCTCTCGACATGGTTTCAGAGCAGGTCCCTCCGTAGGACCGCTCCGTTAGGGCCCACCAACCGTGCGTACTGCCCGAGGAGTTGCTGCCGTCGTGCGCTGCCCTGATCGCCGCGCGCTGCCCTGCTCGCCGCGCGCTGCCCTGCTCACCGCGCGCTGCCCTGCTCGCCTCGCGCTGCTCTGCTCGCCGCACGCTGCCCTGCTCGCCGCGCGCTGCACTGCTTGCTGCGCGCTGCCCTGCCCTGCGCTCTCCCCGCTTGCTGCCCTGCCCTGCAGCCCGCGCGCCGCCCTGCCCTCCAGCCCCCGCGCCGCCCTGCCCTGCAGCCCGCGCGCCGCTCTACCCTGCAGCCCGCGCGTCGCCCTGCTCTGCAGCCCGCGCGTCGCCCTGCCTTGCAGCCCGCACGTCGCCCTGCCCTGCTGCCCGCGCGTCGCCCTGCCCTGCAGCTCGCGCGTCGCCCTGCCCTGCTGCCCGCGCGCCGCCCTGCCATGCAGCCCGCGCGCCGCCCTGCCCTGCAGCCCGCGCGTCGCCCTGCCCTGCAGCTCGCGCGTCGCCCTGCCCAGCTGCCCGCGCGTCGCCCTGCCCTGCAGCCCGCGCGTCGCCCTGCCCTGCGGCCCGCGCGTCGCCCTGCCGTGCAGCCCACGCGTCGCCCTGACCTGCTGCCCGCACGTTGCCCTGCCCTGCGGCCCGCGCGCCGCCCTGCCCTGCGGCCCGCGCGCCGCCCTGCCCTGCAGCCCGCGCGTCGCCCTACCCTGCAGCCCGCCCGCCGTCCTGCCCTGCAGCCCGCGCGCCTCCCTGCCCTGCAGCCCGCGCGCCGCCCTGCCCTGCAGCCCGCGCATCGCCCTGCCCTGCAGCCCGCGCGCCACCCTGCCCTGCAGACCGCGCGCTGCCCTGCCTTGCAGCTCACGCGCCGCCCTGCCCTGCAGCCTGCGCGCTGCCCTGCCCTGCAGCCCGTGCACTTCCCTGCCACTATAGCTACTACCGCTACTGCTAGAGCTGCAGCTACAGCAGTCGCTACTGACGCCCTCGCGCCGCTGCTACTGACTGCCACTGCCTTTCATGGCCACTATCACAGTCGTAGTAGCGTCTGGGGGAGGACATCAGCAACAGTGTCAGCCGGAGACTCTATCGCCGCAGCAGCTTCGAGAGTGGGTCATTCGGCGAGGCCGCTGTGGTCCTGGAGCTTGGGACTTCACTCGTGATGGAGGTACTGGACAGCAGCGGCAGCAGCGTCGCCAGGAGACTCTCTCGCCACAGCAGCTTCGTGAGTGAGTGCTGCGAGTCCTAGTGGTGGTGGTGCCGTGGGTGCTCCTGCTGCAGGTCCTGGCATTGGAGAGCAGCAGTCGCCTAGTCGACTCGAGACGCCGTCACCGCAGCAGCTTCGTGAGTGGGTCGTTCGGAGGTGTTGGGGGTGTTGGGGGTGCTGACACTGGAGGTGTTGGTGCCGCTTGTGCTGGAGGTGCTCGTACTAGAGGTGCTGGAGCTGCCAGAGCTGGAGGTGCTGGTGCTGCCGGAGCTGGAGGTACTGGAGGTGCTGGAGGTGCTGGAGTTGCTGGCATTGGAGGTGCTGGTGCTGCTGGTGCTAGAGGTGCTCAAGGTGCTGCTGGCACTGGAGGTGCTGGAGCTGGAGGTACTGGAGGTGCTGGAGGCGCTGGAGCTAGAAATACTGGAGGTGCTGGAGCTGCTGGGCCTGGAGGTGCTCGTACTAGAGATGCTGGAGCTGCCGGAGCTGGAGGTACTGGAGGTGCTGGACCTGCTGGTCCTGGAGGTGCTGGACCTGCTGGTCCTGGAGGTGCTCGTACTAGAGGTGCTGGAGCTGTCGGAGCTGGAGGTACTGGAGGTGCTGGAGGTGCTGGAGCTGCTGGCACTGGAGGTGTTGGTGCTGCTGGTGCTGGAGGTGCTCGTACTAGAGGCGCTGGAGCTGCCGGAGCTGGAGGTACTGGAGGTGCTGGAGGTGCTGGAGCTGTTGGCACTGGAGGTGCTGTTGCTGGAGGTGCTGGAGCTGCTGGTCCTGGAGGTGCTCGTACTAGAGGTACTGGAGCTGCCGGAGCTGGAGCTGCTGGTGCTGGAGGCACTGCAGCTGGAGGTACTGGAGGTGCTGGAGCTGCTGGCACTGGAGGTGCTAGTGCTGGAGGTACTGGAGCTGCTGACGGTACGGGTACTGCACCGCGCCGACCGTTTTTCTACCCGCAGCCGCAGTCGTCCCTGCCACCGCCTGACTCGGCCCTTCGCCAGGTTCTCAGTCTCCCGTTTTCCACTGACCTCACTCCACCTCTCCTGTGTCCACCGTCTGCCCCGTCTCAGACACAGTTGCCGCCTGGCTCCCCACTTCCTGCTCCTTCTCCCTACACTGAGCTGTCAGACTCGCTGACTGAGCGTCGTGAGCCTGCGTCTCGTGCCTCCACACCTGTTCGTGCTCGTCGTGTCGCCCGTCCTCGTCCTCGTGCTGTCTTGGGCACTCACGTTATGGCACTTCGTCCTTCCCATGTTGCACAACGTGTTGCCCTGCCGTCTCCTCCGGGGTCCTCTTTTGCTGACGTTCCTGACCCTGAGTCCGACCTTGCTCGTGCTGCCAGTCCTACTGTCACTCGTCTCCTCGCTAGTGTCGTCACTGACCCTGACTTTGAACCTACTGCCGCGTTTGCCCTAGTCACTGAGCTAGTCGACTTTGCTGCTAGGAGTCGTCTCTACTACGTCGCGAGTCTTGTTACTGAGTCTGAGTCTGTCCGTCCTCCGTCTGTCGGGGGTGAGCCTGCCCTTGGTTGTGACGTCCTTGAGGACAGGCAGTTTGAGCTTGAGGTTCCAGCTGTGAGGCCGAGATCTACGCTGGGGCTATGGCTGCACAGGAGCTACGCTGGCTGATCTACCTTCTGTCCGACTTGGGTGAGCGGCCTCGTTCTCCTCCAGTTCTGTACGTCGACAACAAGGCCATGCTTGCCTTGTGTCACGAGAAGAGACTGGAGCACGCAACGAAGCACATTGCTCTTCGCTACTTTATTGCTCGAGAGCTGCAGCAGCGTGGTCAGCTTCGCCTTTCCTACGTGGCCTCTAGGGCCAACACTGCTGATCTCTTCACCAAGGCCCTCAGGTCTGGTGATCATCAGCGCTTTTGCACTCGGGCTTCTGCCCACTCTGCCTCACCTGCTTGTCTCTTGATCTTGCACTTGTTGTACACTGATTTCTATATTTATACCTGCATGTTTACTCTTGCTAGGTGGTGATCAGTGTACTGCCTTGCTATTATAACTCTGCATGTGAACTGGCCTTGTGGCCGCTTGCTTGTGCTCAGAATGCGTGGTGATTTTGAGATCCACCCTGGGCTTTGCATTGCTTTGTTCTCTTGCCTGACTGGTCTTGTGACCGTTTGTTGTGTTGGCTATCCCTCACTTTGCCTAGGGGGGTGTGTCAAAACATATCTATATGCTGTTAGTTCTGCTAGGCTACAGTGAGGTCCTCAGTATAAAGTACAACCCCAGTTAGGGTTCACTACTTATATCTCACTCTTGCATAGTTCATTCATTCCTGCACAGTTCTCTCGACAAGAGCACGCGGCAGCTCGAGAGTCACTCGAAGGTCAACAGTCGCAGTTAGTCAACGGTCGTAACTATGTGACCGTCCAGTAACCGTGCTCGGAATTTACACGCTGCAACATGGTAACTGTCGAGTAGAGGAATAGTCGCGGTTACTGTAGCAATGCAATACAGTTAATAATGGAATGTATCCCTCAGAGTACATGGCTAGCTCGATTGCTATTAATATCCTTGTACTTCTATCTTAAAATCATCTTG